TACCACGGGCAGCCCCAGTAATGGAGGTGTTTTGCTCGCAGGGGACCTTCACACGGTCCTAGACCTCGCAAAAGTTGCTGACTCCCTCCTGTTCCTCCTGGATCCTGCGGAAGGCTGGGATGACGCAGGGGAATACTGCCTCTCCTGTCTCTTTGCACAGGGGCTCCCCACTTTCGGTGAGCAAGTGAGAAATATTAAGGGCTTCTAGTGGGGTGTAGGGTGAGGGGCTGCTTGGTGGAGATTTATTGTTGCAGTAATTAGACCTCTGTGTGTTAATGGGTGATCAGCAGTCTTTGTTTCTGAGCACAGATCAGATGGGTGAATGCCATTCTCATGCTGCCTTGTGCTGTTACTACCCTGGTTGGAGAGTGCTGGAGATAAAAGGGGTGTTCTAGGCTTAGGCCTCTGTGTGTGTGGTGGGCTCAGCACTGCAGGGGTTGTCCAGCTGTGCAGAGAGAAGGGATTCAGACACTTTCTTGCTGTGTCATTTAGTCCCAGAATCTTATCTCTGAAGACAGGTTTTCTGCCCCGAGTGTTCTTTTGAACGTGTGAAACCGCTTTTACAGCTCACGGTGTGAATCCGTGTGTTATTGATTGCTGATACCCGAGTGTGTGTCCCTAGAAGGGGTCAAAGGTTGATGCTCTGATCCTAACCTCTGTTCCACGCTCGGTAGCTCTCGCTGTCCCAGGGGGCACTGACTTACCACCCAAGAAGCGGATAGATGCCAAGAAGAAGCTTTCCAAAGCCATTGAGAAGCGCTTTCCCGAGGCCAGGCTCTTCCCGCTGAACACGGAGCAGGAATCCTCGCTGCTCCTCAGGCACCTCAGCACACAGAAGCAGCGGCACCTCGCCTTCCGCGCCCGGCGCGCTCACCTGCTTGCCCACGCTGCTGAGTTTGTGCCTGCTCAGGAGGGTGGCCTGGTTGGGACCCTGAAGGTGTCCGGCTTCGTGCGGGGACAGCCCCTCAACGTGAACAGCCTGGTGCATATCGTGGGGCATGGAGACTTCCAGATGACCCAGGTGGATGCTCCTCCTGACCCCCTCTCTTTGAACCCCCGAGTGGTTAAAGGACAGAAGAGGAGTCAGGACATGGAGGTGCAGGTGTGTTGGAGGTCAGGGGTTTTCTGGCTGTGTTAGAAGATGGTGTTTCTAAACTTGCAACTGGGTGTATGTGGTCAAAGGGAGTTGTATCAAGTGCCAGCTCCGCTGAGCTGAGGTTCCTCACCCACAGCATCTAATGAACATGATACTAAAAGGAGTTGCACTTAAGACCCATTGCCAGCTTGAGTTAGGTGTGTTCACAGCTGCGAACGCTGCTCTTGCCCTCCAGGATGACTCTGTAAATGGGACTGATGAGATGGAGGAAGATGTTAAGGTCCTGATGAAGGCAGATCCAAGCAAGCAGGAGTCTTTGCAGTCAGAAGTGGTTCCTGATCCGATGGAAGGGGAGCAGACATGGCCTACTGAAGAAGAACTGCAAGAAGCAGATGGTGAGTAGCAGCAATACTCTTTGTCCCTGTTAAGAGAGTTGTCAGAAAACCTGTGTCTGGTGTAAATGTTGCTCAGGGAAAGGGGAATTGTTCCTGTCTCAACCATTGGTGGGAATCTTACAGCTTCCCTGAAGGCAAACAGGAGGGTGGTGAAGGTCCCCAGAGGCACTTCCAAGTACCAGGCTGCCTGGATTGTGGATGATGAAGAAGGCAGTGAGAAAGATGATGATGAAGATGATGACGTTGATGATGATATGATGGAAGAGGCAGTTTCCCAGGTATGTCCAAGAGCTGATGCTGCAGGTGATCTCCAGGGTGTTACTTTGTATTCCAGGACAATCCTGTCCTGTTTTGCTCCATGGAAGGGTGCTGCACAGAGCCAGGACTTGCCTGGATTTCCACTGTTAAATCTGTCATGTGTTTGATGTTGCTTCTTTGGCTTCCTCTGTGTCAGGAGGGGGAAAGCAGTGGGGAGGAGGAGGAACCTGCAGAGGAGGAGTGCGAGACTATGACCGTATCCGAGAGCTTGCGGGATGACCAGTACGATGAGAAGGTGGAGGAAGATGAGCAGATGCTGGAGAGATACAAACAGGAGAGGATGGATGAAATGTTTCCGGATGAGGTGGACACACCACGGGACGTTCCTGCCAGGATCCGGTGAGAAATGGGATGCTTTGCTGGGAGAGCAGCTGGGAAGCACCTTCTGTCTGGTTTGGTGAGGGCAGGAAGCCTGTGATGTCTCAGCCGTGGTGTCTGAACCTGGCTGAAGGACTCTTCTGAAGACCCACTCCAAGGCTCTGAGGCTTCCAGGAGGCACCAGCTGGGGGGACAGTGAGTGTGCCCAGGCAGGGAGAGCTGGGATCTTACTTAGGAGAAGGGAGGAGGATGGCAGAGCCCGGCTGCAAGGGCAGGTTGTTGGGGGATTAGCTGCTGTTTCTACCTCTCTCTGCACTAAGATCCTTTCTGAGAGCTCATGTTTACTTTGCTGCCTTTGTCCTCTCTGAAGGTGTGAGGCCGTGTGGACCGCAGAAGGTGCTGGCCACACACCTGGACTGGTGAAGTAGTTTATCTTTCCTGTTACCTTTTCTCTAGGTTCCAGAAGTACAGGGGGCTGAAGAGCTTCCGGACTTCTCCATGGGACCCCAAAGAGAATCTCCCAAGGGATTATGCCAGGATTTTCCAGTTCCAGGACTTCTCCCGGACCAGAAAGCACCTCTTCCGGCAAATAGAGAAAGAGGAGACTGAAGGAGCATCGGTAACTCCCTCTTCCTGATCTCTTCCCCTACTGTGTTCCCTTGCTCCTAATGGGAAAGGCTTGTCAGGGAGGTGACTGGGTGGATCTTCCAGGCAGCTGGTTCTCAGCATGAAACCATAGTGCAGATGATATTGTCCTCCTGGATTCCCTCTCTAACCCATGTTATTTCTGACACTTCTCTGTTGAAAGAAGTATTCACAACCCATCCTCTCCTGGCAGGTTGGCTGGTACGTTACACTTCACCTCTGCAATGTCCCTATCTCAGTGATGGAGAGTTTCAAAGAAGGGAAGCCCTTAGTCCTGTTCTCGCTTCTTCCACACGAACAAAAGGTGATTAAATATGGCCCTGCTGATATCTTGCAGCTCCTTGTCTGATTCTGTCGTTCTGCCTGCAGAGGGTTTGGGCTGAAATCTCCTGTTGCTTGCACTTCAAAGTAGGACCTTGCTTTTGGTCAGAGCAGGGGGTGTTTGGGCTCAAAAGCCTGGCTGAGCTGTCGCTCTGCTGACCAATGATCCCCTGGGAAGCCATTGCCGAGAGCACTCATCTCTGCTGCAGTGTCCCGTTGCTTTCTGCTCCACCATCACTTCCCAGCCCTGTGCCAGCCCCTCTCAGAGCTGCTTCTCTTGCAGATGTCTGTGCTGAATTTCCTGGTGCGCCGGCACCCGAGCAACAACGAGCCAGTGAGGGCAAAGGAGGAGCTGATCTTCCACTGCGGGTTCCGGCGCTTCCGAACCTCCCCCCTGTTCTCCCAGCACACCTCAGGTTCGTGAGGGACCACAGGGGCTGGAGCTGCCAGGGCAGAGGAAGCCAGTGATGTCTTAGCCGTGGTGTCTGAACCTGGCTGAAGGACTCTTCTGAAGACTCACTCCAAGGCTCTGAGGCTTCCGGGGTGGCATTAATTAGTGGGAATGGCTTTGTCCAGGGAAGGGGGTGTCAGGCTCCATGCAGTGAGTTGCTAGCTCAGAGGGTCACCTTCATTCCCAGACACTCGTATCAGTGTAGGAGGGGTGTTTGTCACTCATTTTCCTAAATCTGGGAGCCTGGTTGCTAGGGATAATGGGCTCAATGGGGTTTCCCAGAGCTCTGACGACTGCTCTTGGGCTGAACTTGATCATGCCTGTTCTCTCCTAGCTGATAAGCACAAGCTGGAGCGTTTCCTGCGCCCGGATGCTGCCATGGTGGTGACTGTTTATGCTCCCATCACCTTCCCTCCTGCTTCAGTGCTTCTTTTCAAACAGAGAAGTAACGGTAAGCTGCTGGGGAGGTGGTGTGTGAGAAACAAACATGAGCAGGCTGTTCCCATGGCCCACTTAGAAGTGCATCTATCCAAAAAAAGCCATCCCTTTCATGTTATTTGAGAAGATTCATGTATTTCCATTCCCATTATCACTGGCAGCTTTGCCCATCCCTGCTGTGGGGTTGCTCTGGGCCTGGAATCATTTGGGGAAGGGGGTTTTGGTGGGGGGAAGAGGTGTATCAGTGGCTCTGCCTTGCTGTTCCCATGGCCCACTTAGAAGTGCATCTATCCAAAAAAAGCCATCCCTTTCATGTTATTTGAGAAGATTCATGTATTTCCATTCCCATTATCACTGGCAGCTTTGCCCATCCCTGCTGTGGGGTTGCTCTGGGCCTGGAATCATTTGGGGAAGGGGGTTTTGGTGGGGGGAAGAGGTGTATCAGTGGCTCTGCCTTGCAGGAATATCTGCTCTCTGTGGACCCCGACAGGATTGTCATCAAGAGGCTGGTGCTCAGTGGCCACCCCTTCAAGATCTTCACTAAGATGGCTGTTGTGAGATACATGTTCTTCAACAGAGGTACAGCTCAGCTCTGTGTGGTGGGAAGAGGGGACGTGGAAGCCGAACTCCTGTGGGAGCACATGTGTTGGTGCAGCAAAGCCTGTTCCTTACCTGCCTTTTGTGTTTCAATCTCCAGAGGATGTGATGTGGTTTAAGCCAGTGGAGCTGAGGACAAAGTGGGGCCGTAGAGGACACATCAAGGAGCCACTGGGTAGGTTTGATTTGGTATTCACCCCTGTGATGCTGGGCCCAATGTGCTCCTGGGCAGGAGAGGCAGCTAATGCCCCCTTTGCTCTCTGCCTAGGGACCCACGGGCACATGAAGTGCCAGTTCGATGGACAGCTCAAGTCCCAGGACACGGTCCTGCTGAACCTCTACAAGCGTGTTTTTCCTAAGTGGACTTATGACCCCCACGTTCCGGAGCCTGTGCCCTGGGTGAGGAGCCAGAGCACACTGCCAGTGCAGGAGGTGGACATGGAGTAACTCTCCAGCATGGCTGGAGCTGGTGCCTTAGCTCCTTGGATGCTGTTCTCAGCCCCTGCACGGTGAGGACAGCACTGATGTCTGGATGTATCCCTGCTGGCTCTGTACAGGGGTGGTTCTCTCACCAGCTGCTGCTCAGGTACCAGCTACAGCTATTTATTTTAATGGAAAATGTTTCCAAAAACCTCTTTAAGTGCTTCTGTCTTGGTGGAGGCCAAATGGGGAGGTTGTGTGTACCCCTTGCTCACTGGGGCTGTTGTCTTTCCCAGCCATATGTGCAGGGCTTTTGCTGTATCAAGGACTGGAGTTTGACAGAAGTTACTGTGATACTGAGAAAGGCGTAGAGCGGGTGGCTGAGTGTAAAGCAGGGTGCTGGGGAGGGGAGAACAGGCCATGCTTTGTTTTCAGACCCCCAGCAGGAACCCTTTGCTGTGCAGCCAAGTGTCTCCCTGCTGCAGAGACCACCACCAGCTTCCTTTACCCCTCCACAAACCCCTTTCACACCTTTGAGGCTGTTTTATCTGGTTTTAGTCACACACAAACCAGGCTCTACAAACCCAGAGCGAGGTTCCCACTGCTCGAGGCGCTGCTCCCTTCTCATTCCGCTGTCCCAGGGCCCTCCGTGAGCCAGGTCAGGGAGCTCAGGTCCACGTTTCCCCCACACAGCACGATGCAAATGTGCTCCAGATCCCGGGGGAACGCCTGGAATTGCTCCGAGAGCGCTGCCGCCACTCCCACGCCCGCTGTTGGCTCAATCAGCAGCTTCATCCTTTCCCACACCAGCCGCGTGGCTCGCTGTTGGGATAGAGCAGCTGCTGTCATTCCAGCAGCAAGGACCGGCTGCTCCAGGGCTGTGGAAGGGGCACTGGGAGAGCAGAGCTTCCGCCAGCCCTTCCCAGCTGGAGATGTGGGTGTTGGACATCTGCGGTGGGGTGAGGGTTGTGCTGTCCTGGGAGCTCATCCCTGGGACAAAGCTGGATGAGTGGGAAGAGAAAGAATGGATGGAGGCAGCTGGGAGAAGGGAGCTGGGAGCCTTCACCTTGATTTCCTCCTCTGAGACAGTCACGACATCATCAACCAAGTCCCTGATGATGGGCCATGTGTTGGGGCCGATGTTGGTTCTCACTGCATCCGCGATGGTCTCCCGTGGGTTGAGGCTGGGGGTCAGCTCCCCTCTCAGCTTGGACTGGTAACAGTCGTCTGCGTTGCATGGCTCAGCAGCAAACACCTTCACGTCTGGTCTCAGAGCCTGTGGAGAGCACAAGGAGCCACTTGGCTGAAGCTCTGTCCCTGTTCCCTGTTGTTGTGGGTGCAGGGGGCCACGTTACAGCCATGCAGACCCCAGGCACCCAGGGATCTTGGTGTCTCTCTAGAGAGAAAAACTGCTGCCTGTTTTGGGAGCCTGCCCTTCCCATGGGGACATGCAGCCACCGTTTCCTGGGTGAGCTGCTGCCTACCTTGATAGCAGTTGCTATTCCTGCAATCATTCCTCCGCCTCCAACAGGAACCACCACTGCATTTACCTCGGGTGCCTGTGCCAAAAGGAAGTGTGAATGCTTCTAGTTCCTCTTCCTGCTGTGCCCCTGCCTCTGAGGAGCAGAGGCAATGCATTCCCCTCACCTGCTCCAGCACCTCCAGGGCGATTGTGCCTTGCCCCGCAATCACCGCTGGCTCCTGGTTCGGATGTACCATCACTCCTCCTGTCTCCTGGACCACCCGAGCTGCTGTCTCAGCTCTGGACTAAGGCAAAGCACAGATGTCACCTCTCGGGCAGGCAGGGCCATGCCTCTGGCCAGTGTCCCCCGTGCTTTATTTACCTCATCGCTGGGCTCGCACGGCACCAGCGTGGCGCCGTAGGCGCGGATGGCAGCTTGCTTGCAGCGTGGGGCGGTGCGGGGCACCACGATGTAGGCAGGAATCCCTGCGTGGTGAGAGAGGAGGCAAAGCCAACAGCCAAAGAGCTGCAAGCAGCCAGTTGGTGCTGCAGGAGTGGGCTGTGCTTTGTCTCACTAGTGTGCAGGAGAGGGACAGCCCTGCTTATCTCCAGTGCTGGCAGAGCTGGGTGCCTCTGCCCAGGATCCAGCTCTGCCTGCGTAACCCGGCTCCGTGCCCGGCCGAAAGCC